TGTCTCTCACCTAGAACAATACAATCATTTAAGAACACTGAAACCGGCACTGCTGTTTTTGCTAAATCCGTTAGATTATAGCTTCCTTGATGTGCTGTTGGACCTGGAAATGAAAGTTGATAAGAAGGAAATGAGTCCAGAGCAAATAAGAACTATAGCTTTGGAAACAATTGAGCAACGTTTTCCGACTGAGGAATACATGTATCCACATGTATATACGGATGGCTCTTTGACCGATATGATTCAGGGAGCTAGATCTGGAGTTTTCAGCAAGATTTTCAGTTTCTACATACCTGTAGGGGCTTACTCCACTCACTCTGATGGAGAACTGAAAGCCATTCATGTAGCTCTCCAACAATTATCTTTGAGACAGAGCTCGATTAGGAGGGCCGTTGTACTGTCTGATTCGACTTCAGTAATACAGGCCATCTCCTCTTACCAAGAGTGTAAGAACACATGCGTTCAGCAGTGTCAGGAAGTCATAAAAGAACTTTCCCACAAGATATCTTTCCAATGGGTACCTTCACACTGCGGTATTTATGGGAATGAGATGGCTGATATGCTTGCGAAAAAGGGGCTACGGTTCTCCAAAAGCCAGAAACGAGTGCAAGCCTCCATTCTATTAAGCTTCTGACATCACTAACATATCAAAAGACTTTTAGAGATTTTGCCACTCGAACTTGTGAGGGCAAGCCTTGGAGTGTTCTCTCATCAAACCCAGCTTTTGTTCCTGATCACCCGCGAACAGTTGCGGTTGCATCTTTTAGACTATTGACGAGACATAACTGTCTACAGAATCATTTATTTCTCATTGGACTAACTGATTCGCCGTTGTGTATTTTATGTAATAGTGGACGGCCAATGACGGCGGAACATTTGGACGAGTGTGAAGCACTGACAAATTTTTCTTGTAGATTTCAGCGCTATTGGCAAGCAAGGAGTTTAATAACGGCCAATGTAACTGGCATTTGACAAATAAACATTGCCATTGGATAGGGATGAATAAAATAAATATTTTTTCTAATTAAAAAAAGGCAAACTACTTTTCCTTCTTCCTTCAAATGGTGGATATGAAAAAGATTTCGGTATTCTGATTTCAGTTCCTGCCATTTACGAATTATGAATTCACTATCAAAAGATTTTACGTGATGTGAGAGGAATAGAAAATGCGATGTATGAGTTGAGATAGCCTGAGGTCTATTTTTGACAAAACTTCTTGATATATAGACAATGAATAATTGACATCTGCTCATTACAAATATATCACGCAATCCTTGGTTCTTTGTGAAGGTTGACCGCGATCAGATCATTTACGCTGGACAGTGACATTCCTTCAGAATTCACTTGAGTACAATCATCAGTTTAAGTAGAAAATACAAACTCCATTATAATGAATTTCAAGGGACCGGAAGTCTAGCTCGCTTTATCCGATCCGAAAAGAATGGATTATCTCTCAAAAAAGTACAAAAATTGATTGATGAGTCATTAAAGAAATTGATCAGCATAATCACATCGTCCAAATAAATGAATAATAACTCTAATTTTTTTAATCGTATTAAGGATTAATTACATTTTTTGAAGCGTAAGTATTAAATACGTTTTTTATTCTTTTTCAGTTTCACAAAGTTAATAATTTTATACGATAAATGACTTAGCGGAAAAATCATATAGAGACCCTTTACTCGAAATCCGTAATTTGAATTTGAAATTTGTTTTATTATCTATTTCAGATTTCGTAACACTTCAACGAATTTTTTATTAAAAACTAGACGATTTCAAAGCGAGCAATTGCAACACTGAACGAAAAAAAATTTATCTCCAAAAAAAAAACATTTTTATTTTTATCTTTGTAAAATTAATTTGCCATATTGCTGTTGAGCTGAATTTTATAGTTTGAGTACGTAGAACATATTTAATAAACAAAGGTAACACACAAAACGTTAAGAAACGCCCCTTTGGACGTAATTTAAAATCTGAAAGCTTTCAAATTTATTTATTTATTTATTTTATTTATTTATTTATTTTTTTTTTCCACATCAAGCATGCGTTTTATATTCACGTGTTCAGGTGTTCAGACACGTTCAGATGTCAATTTTTTCCGTTTTTAAATCAGTTACGTGTTTTTACTGATTTGCATAATATTGAATTATTTAATTTACAGCAAAAAGGTGTCTGATAAATTAAAAAATTTTCAGTTTGTATCTTCCAATTTGTATCCAGAATATAACTGCAATGCCACTCAAAATCGTCGACTCGCTCATTATTTTTCCAAACTTTCATGCTATTCAGATAGATTTTTTTATAACGGTTGGCTTTACTAGTTAGCTATGAAATTATGAAAGAAAGGAATTAATATAGTTTACGTACATGCAGTTAAAATTTTTCTTTAGAAGCTCCTATCTTATCGAATATTCAGTGTTTTCATATGAAAATTTCAATTTAATTGACTTTATAAGCTTTTTCGCGCTTTCTGCAAGATATTTGTTTTAAATTTGGTTGAAAACCCTGTATGTTGTAACAAAACAAAAACGCGAAAGACATTGGAATTGTGAAAGATTACATTTTCATTAATATACATGGTATTTTTCTAAAATTCATACAAACCCTGTGTGGGGTTCCACCCTTTTATTCGACAGCTAAATGTGTAAGAATCTCGTGAACAGTTAAGCGAGTAATCGGCTTTAGTTCAGGAACAGAGACGTAAACACAAGAAGGGTTAATTACCCTTTATTTCTCAAAATAAGAGTTAAACAGTCGGCCTCCCTCTCAGGGCGTACATTTGGGCTTGAACTCAAAATAATAAGAACTAAGACTTTACTAATGCTTAACTGAAAAGATATAGCCGAAGCTATCAAAATTCTATGTAGTTGGCCCCTAAATATCTAATAAAGGTCTGAAATACGGCCGAACGTAGTAACAGCTTAGAGACAGACGTAGCCAAAAGACAAACGCGCGGTAGTCAGAAACTCTGAGACTCTTTCTCGAAATCAGTGGAACTTCGACTTAAATACCACTCATTTGCATTAAACGGGATTCTAGAAACACATTCTGGTAGGAAATTGTAAGATGAAATTAGTAAGGGCAGGAAAGTAGCTTTAACGAAGATAACTATTAAAAACCTAGGATAAACCTTACACATGCACGCAACATGTAAAATATTTTGCGAAATTTACAAACCAATTCCTGGTTTTTATAATACCGTGAGGCAAAAAATTTTTTTCTTAATTATTTCGTCGTTCGTTCAGTAAATGTACTCGTACCGAATTTACACTAGGAAATGTGTGTTCAAGCATTTGATCCGCATTATCGTAGTTACCGAATAATTCATGAACATCTTTCTATAACCCTGCGACGTTTGACTACATTGTGAAGGTAATATTGTTCATAAGGAATTACTTCGGAAAATTTCTTACAGTAATTTTCATATACGGTCTCAAGGAATGATAAGAATAATTGGATAAACTTTAGAATATGGTAACAGGTAGTTTGGCGACATTTTGGTAAGGCGGTAAAGGTTACTAGCTAGGACTTTAGCAATAATCTGAGAAGTACACAGTTCGAATCACAGATTATTTTGTCTCAGAGAAATGAGAGATAATGAGACATGTAATGCGACATTTTCCGGAAAATTCGAATGGGGATTTTAGCTAAAGCACTTAGAAACAATTTCGCTGCTAAAGTGCAGAATCGCCCACTTATTTGTTTGGTGCTTTTTTTTTTACAAGAGTAAGAAGAATTGGAATTTTGTCAATTTTCTTTGACTTTTTAAGTGAAAATAGGTCGATGTGCAAAGTCATGGATAAAGTCAAGAGTATGCGCCATTTTTGCGCCATTTTGCCATTTTTGCGCAGGGATTTTTTTTTAATGAAAATAGGTCGACGTGTACATGGATACCGTGTATATGCAAACGCGGCAAGCAGGGGGCGATTCTACACTTTCTCCCAATTTCGCACCTAATCTCGTCATGATTAAGCCCTTTTGTTCCATAAAAATTCTAGCATAAGCGTAATACGGCTAGCAGATTGTTGGAAAAAATGTTGAGTAAAACAAAAACAAAAAAAAAAAAAAAAAACACCGGTTGGTCGCCAAAGTTTTGCCAAAAAATCGCCAAGTTACCATAATCTTAAGATTTACCGAATAATTATATAGGTAAAAAGAGACATTATTTTGTCAAAATTTTCCAGTGTGTGTTAATTGCCTGCAGATAAACGCAAATGTTTCCAGTTTTGTTTCAATAATTAAATTTAACTCAACGCAATAATATCTTTTATTTAATACAATTCTATTTCCAGTCATATTCAAATGAATAATGTTATCATAATAGAACATTAAACACACTTTTAAACAAATAAATTTTTGTAATAATTAAATTTGATAAATAATATCCTTTGAAATGATGCATATAAAACTTTCGTAAAATTAAAATGAAATAAATATAAATGAATAATTAATTTCAATGGAAAAAGAAAATTCCTGATAATAAAATGTAACAAAAATTTACATGAAAACGTAGTTAACATAACACCTAAGTTATATTTAAATATTAATTCAAATATGAAGAAACATAAATATTTAATATGCGTAAATAAATTCCGCCAGCGGAATCGAATAGTTAGAATAATTACGTTAATAAACAATATTTTAAAACACTAAAAGATACACACATCAGTTTCTGAATTTCAGTATCTTCAGAAAGAAACACAATTTTTATTCTCACTCTGTAAATAAATACGTATGAAGGAACATTTTACAAAAGAAGAAAGGCATATAAATTCCCAAAATGTTTACTATAAATACACGCAATATTTTGTAAAACTTTAAATGTTTTCACATGAAAAATATAAACTTAAAAGTTTTACTGAATTTACAATAATAATTTTATTAAAACTTATAAACTTTTAAAACTAACTTAAATTTATTCTTAGTTCCAAAAGCTAAAAGAGAAAAATTACCTAAAATTTCTTAAAAAAATAAAAACCACATTTTTAGGAAATTAAAAATTTAAAGAAAGAAGAAATTATTACTTTTTTGCAGATTTTATTGATTAGAAATTACTGAAATACTATATTTGTGAATTATTATTTTCTAGATTGTAAATACTAATTACATTTTAAATCCTTTTTAAGTCTATATTTGACTTTGTATAGTCAAAATATCGAGATATTTCTGCAATCTCCTTCACTCGCATAATAACAATGCATATAATTTAATTTCATATAATATTTTTTCATATCTTTTATTTGTCTCTGTTCTAATATTGTAATTAAGACTTTAAAGTAGCTAAAAAAGCAATTTTAGTTTGGCGTAGATTGTGAATAAAACTCTATCCATTTCAAAGTAGATCAGACATTGCCCGCTCCTTCAGGAGGCAAAATGTTTTGCTCCTGAAGAAGAGGGACGTTTTATGTATGATCACTTTCGAAATTGATAGAGTTTTATTCAAATGCATCGACAATTTAAGGGTTCCTTTTCGCCTAATTTTAAATTTTGCATTAAAACGTTGTCTTCTAAGTAATTAAGACTTTATCTGAAATTAATCCGAAATCTAAAAATGCACTAATTTATTTAGAAGTTAGGAACTTTTAATAATGAATAATTTCAAATCTTTAAAAAATACATAAATGTTATTTTCAAAAATCTGGTCGCATTCGTTGCAAATTAGTTTAGAAGCACATTTATGAAAGAAATAAATTCATTTTTCAGTATATTAATTGCAATAATGTCATTTCATTATCATCATATTTTAGTCTTAGACAGTCATATAATCATCACAAGGCGAATTCTCCTGATCTATGATTGTTTCGGTACGGCGACGAAACTTAAAAAGTTTCCTGAATTTTATATCTCTGGGTTTTGTCACTGATCTGTGATTTGTTCCGAAATTTCTATTAGCAGAACTTACAAAACGACTCGTCGATTTCGGCTGTTCAATTATTTTTTGCATTGATTCCTGTCCTTGCAGACAATCTTTCGTTTCTATCCCAGAAAAAGAACTATGACGACGAGCATTGCTGACTATATTCTCAGAGAGCTCACAATCATCCTTAATCTTCTCGAGTTGAGTAGATGATGAAGAAAATGTGCGGTTAATAAAGTTCCCTATAGATGAGCTGCGCCTACAAGGAACATGATCAGACTGAGCAACGTTATTGTCTTTACCATTAGGAAAAGAAATTTCATTCAAATGGTCATTTCTTGATTTGATACTAGGACTTGATATACCAGAATCTAGCGAATCAGAATGTTCCGAATCACAGTCAGATGTCCAACGTCTTGCGGCTAACTCTTCAATAACATTTGGAGACAAGATTGGCTCGGGACTATTCTGATACCAAGCAGCATAATAGTTTTCCCGTACTTTACTCCACTCAAGATTTTCATATTCTGGAACATTATCCAGCCTTAATTCTGGCATACTTCGCGTGCGCGTACACGTGGAATGAGATCGCTTAGAAGAAGTCTTGTTTTTATCGTTTTCTGCTTCTACGTTCACCATAACAGGCAAAGCTCTGGAGACTATTCCCTTATCTTTTATGTATTCGTCCAAAGCTACAGAAAACCTCTTGGACAATGGCGGAGCTAATTTCGTCCTCCTTCCAGTTGATGGATTGCAATCGTTGTGGTCATGCCGATATCTCAAATCAGTCCGTGCAAGCATGGATTTAAGAGATTGTATTTGAAGAGCTTGGAAATGAATATACTGATCCTTCTCGCTTAAAAGAGCTTCTATGTGCTTCTGTTCTCTCCGCAGCTGTGCTTCTACGTAGAACAGGCGAGAGGCAAGTTCGCTGGTTAGACGATCACGTTCTGCTTTCAAGTCTCGAATGACTTGGCTCTGCCACTGGACCTGCCGCCTCAGGTCCAGCATCATGCGGTTGCTCTGGATTCTCTGGAGGTTACGGTTATCTTCAACGGGAACTGTCGCTTTTTGGATTCTGAGGTCCTCAACTTCTGCGCCTTCAGAGGTCATCTGCAAAAAACAAACAGTTAATTTTACAATGAGATACTGAGTAAAATACAGAATATAGATATAAAGAAGCATTAATTTCTACGTAGACAGCCAAAAGCCTATTTAATTCAATAATTTAACCAATCAGCTTAAATAAGATTTCTTCGTATTTCAATTCGTAAAAGAATCATTCCTGTGCTTATTGTTCGGATATAGGTGGCTAGCTCTATAGCTCTTAGCTAGCAAAATGAAAATCCACAGTTTGAATGAGTGGCGTCCGAATGTTGAAGACTATAACTTTTTCACGATAATCCAATTCATGTTGTGGACGATAATTTGACAACACATAGATTTGGGCGGCTGTGTCTCGTGCCTCCCCTCTAAGGGTCTATCTCGACGTGATGGAGGGGCGGCAATGTTCCCCGGTCGGGGTCGGCAAACGGGCCGCCACCAAGCTGCGTGTATCCTCTTCCCATGGGGGGGGGCTGAGCTGTCTTGGGAGTAAATTTTTCTTCGCACTCATAAAGCTACACCCGGTAGTTGGTATTCTGTCCTACCTGGAGATGTTCGTAATAAGGTCCTTTTGTCGAGGCAGATCTCGGGTGAGTGACTCATGCACCGGTCATAGGACGTACTTTAGTCTTGGGACGGTTAATTCCATTTGGTGCATCTCGTGCCTCTCCCCAGACGCCTTTTAAATCAGATTGAGCAAATCAGAATGTAAGGAATTATTGCGTTCTCCTGTACATACCTTCTTATTATTATACGTGGTTTGCACGTCCAACTAACAATTGAAAAATCCATGGTATGAATTCTGGCAAGAATAAAATTGACTTTTCACGTTTTCCGGTTTGAAAAACCAATGTATCTTTACTAGTTGACTTTATATTATGCTCAGCTTTCTAAACTTATACCGCATTACTTCTCAAACTGTCTGACACAATAAAAAAGCAATGGAAATAGTATTAAAAAATATCATTTTATACAGTACAATAGAATTCACAAATTGGATAACTCGGGAGTAAATTTAGAAGGGAATAATTTGTCTAATACAATATTTAAAGTTATAATTAAAAGATACATATACTTTCTAAATGTTAGACACTTCAGCAATTACGATAGTCAGTATATTTATGGACTGCCATATTTAATGCTTACATAAAATAATGTTTATTCTATAATAAACTATATGCTTCATACTTATAAACAAAAAATATTAATTAAACAAAACAGCAAAATAAAACTCTGTCAAAAACGCAGTAAAATATCCAGAGAAAATAGTCATAACTTTAGAAATGTATCCTTTCAGTGTAAGAAATCAATACAAAGATTTTACAGACAAACACTGATTAGAATAAAACTGAGATTCCAACATCGCATATACTTTTTTAAAAATATATCTTTGTCAATTAGATAAATAAAGTTTGCTGCCACTTAATGAAATATTCCGACAGGAATTATATTAAATATTGCTGTATTCTAATTAACAGCACTGCTTGACCGTGTTTGTGACTTTCTTATCTATCTTGTTTTGCATATTACTTTAGTCCTAATTGCTGCTCCAGGCATTTCCTTCCGTACACGGTAGCTGAACTTTGCTACATGCAATATTTGCGCATGCGTGATATGTTCAAGGCCTTGCCTTAATTGGCAGATAATTAACTCGACGGCGATGAACAGTATGGCACAAAAGGTTACTGTAACTCGGATTGAAAGAGTAGTTACAGTTTTGTGTCGTGTTTACCTGGGAGTACAAACACGCAACAACGTACTTTTAGACATAATTTTCTAACACAAATGAATAAAAGTAGTTAAGTTGATTTGAATTTTATTATCTGACATATCAGCAAAATCTATTTGAACTTCAATAAGTATTGTAAGAGGCTAAAACTAAAAACACAGAAAAATATTGAGCATAATAACCATTTTATAATTCAGTTCTCTTTCATCGAATAAAATAAGATATCGTTGATGTCCTTGTGCGCAAAGATTTAAAAAATAGCTATTATGCTAATTAAACTTGCTTCTTAACTTCATTATAATTAACTTAATAATCTTATCTGAGTGTCCATAAGCATTCATTAAATTGACAAACAGAAAAACATATCTAATTTAATAATTACATATAGCCTTGAATTATATTCATGAAAAATAGTCAAAATGCTGTTGCGGCTATACATACTTTTGATTATCAAAAGTATGTAAAACCGCTAAGTAAAAGAATAATTGTGTAGCTACGTGAAAACATGCATCTCGAATTTAATGTTAAAAGCAAGTTACTTTGTAGTTTTACTAGCTCATCAGCGGCCGAGCAGTAACGCCGCTAAACGCAGGTAGTTCGGTTTAAATCGCCATGAACGAGCTGGTTGTATGGGCGTTTCCGTGGCTTAACCCATGTGTAACGTATATACCCCAGTTTTCCTTAGAAAGTTCTCCACGAAGGGATCCCTTCCCTTAGGCAAGTAGCCCTCGAGTGCTTTGCAATAATTTTAATTTAAAAAAAGAAACCGTCGTAGCTTTGCATTTTTATTTGAAATGGTTTATTGACCCTTTTATAAGAAAGACGGATCGGAACTGAAAGAAGACAGAAACTAAATTCTTGGAAATAAATGCAAGAAATATACGTATTCAGTATTCACACACACATAAATGTTACAAAATAGCACATGTCAAAATTTTTAAGTTTTAAAAAAAAAAATTTAATTTCAAAGTAACATACGGATTAGACGCAGACTGGAGAAGAAAAAAAAAGAAATGAACCTCTATTTTTTGTTAATAACATAAATTCTTCTACGGAAACCCTTCTATGATATCGTAAAATGCAAAATTATGTTTAGAAATTGATTGCTAATGAAAAAGAAGTCAAATTCCTTAGTAAAAATGGGCAGGTTTTTGAAAGATATTTCAAAGTTTCAAAATAACCAAGTTTACTAATTGAGAGAATCTTCTTTCTTGCGCGAGATATTATTTAAAAAGAAGCAAAATACAATTTCAGAAAAATAACAGAGAAGAGACTAACAATGGCAAGCGATGAACCATTCATTAATTTACTCTCTCGATGCAAATTTTTGAAAAACTTTTAATGTGAGCAATATTTGCTAAGCCACATTTACCAGCAACGTAATAAATTCCTGGAAAACAATCTGATATAGAATCTTTAAAGCTTAAATTCAGCATTCCACTAATAAAAAGGAAAATAGTTTGAATGAAGAATTTACAAAGGATCCGAGCAATTTTATAATTGATAGAAGCAAAACCATTAGACAGCAATAAGATTTATGCGATTGTTGCTTAAAAGAATGTTGCAAATAATAATGAAAACAAAATTCTTCTGTGAACATTTTCAACAAGAAAGCAAAACTTTGATCCTAAGCGAAAGCTCTTCAAATCAATAATCAATAATATCCTCAAAAATGCAAAAATGGAGAATATTAAGAACTATTTTTCCTCTAACCTAACAACAATATTTACGAGGAAAGAAAGATAATTATCTTAATTAACGAGAATTTTATGATAGGGCAGGTTTATTATTGATATATAAACTGAAAAGTAGTCCTTCAGAATTCCTTGAAACTCAATATACTTGTGCCAGTTTTTCTCACAATGCAGAAAGAAAGGTGCGCAAATTGTCCAAAACTATGGAGTTCAAAACATAGTTATGTTTTCAGCCCAAAGGACGTTAGCCCAGAAGGGTGATTAATTTCGTTTTGACATTTTGTGGCGTTTCACTTTTCAAATTGTTGCCAACAAATGTTATCGCTCTTGTGTTATATTTAAAGAAATTAAATAATGAAGAAGCTGCATAAATGTATGCATGTTTCTCGCACTGTGATAACAACAGAGCAATCTAATTTTAAATAACGCACCTCTCCATCCGAACATGGACATCTGGAATTTGTTTTATTATGTACTAGCAGCTTCGCTGCCAGCCTTTGTCTGGCTTTTAAATGTACCGGAAAAATGGCTGAAGGTAACACCAAACGTTAAATAAAAACTGCGTAGAATTTTACTCTACAGAAAAACTTCATAAAAAAAGTTATTAAGTATAACAAAATTACAATGAAATAAGCAATATCCCTTAATACAAATATAAATTATCCTAATAAATAAATTAACCAACTTCCCTTTGCAAAATCTTAAGAACTCAAATGGTATAAAGGAGGTTAAGAAATTTGTTTCCTAAAAAAATCACTCAAAAGTTTTCAATATCTTAAAAACAGTAAAATGAGCAATAAATAACATAAAAAAAATACAAAAAACAAAAAATTCTGAAAAGCAAAGTATAATTAATACTTTATCTTATATTTTCAAGAGGAAAAAAATAACAATGAAATAAGCTATATCCCTTAATACAAATATTAATTATCCTAATAAAAAAATTAACCAACTTTCCGTTGAAGAACAAAAATCATGCAAAACTTTTCAATATCTTACAAACAGTGGAATAAGTAAAAAATAACATGAAAGCAACTCAAAAAACATAAAATTCCGCGCAGAATTTTACTCTTCATAACAACTTTATCAAAAAATAAATAAATAAATAAATAAAAATGTATTATATATATAATAAAATGACGATGAAATATGCCAATCTCTTAAAAACAGTGACATAAGAAATACGATGGAAAATTGTTGCCAAACCCATCTAAAAGAATGAAACTATTCAGAATGATGCGATTTCATCAAAAATCTATCAACAACAATAAGAAAGGAAAATTGTTGCCAAAATCATATTTTAAAAGATGTGAGATGCAAGAAGTGTACTCGGAAGCTTCAATTAAAAAATTCTTTAAAAATACAAAATATTATCATTTTTCCAAAATTCCTTTTGTATAAGCAGTCGCAAGGATGAAAGTTTAACGTGTCCAAAAATCAAAGAAAAATAAACTGTGCATTTTTAAACATAAAATTTTTTAGAAAAAAATCCCGCTGAAAAGGTGTTAAGCTCACTTTGTTAAATAAATTCGTATTTAATCGATTTATTGAAACACGAAATTTTTTTAAGTTTGTAAATAGCTAAG